TATTAGAGACCACAACATGTAACATACAAATACAACCCTTGAAGATTTATTGGAAAAGTTATCGTCTCGTTTTCAGCTATCTAGAATAATAACTATATGACTTCAATGTTGCAGGAAGCCAAACTGCAGGTAATGAAAGTCAATCTCTCCTGTCACATTGCTCAATTCTGACAATTTTCACGTTAATACATTTAATCAAATATTCAGTGGCTAATGCTAACAAAATTTTAAATTGGGTTAAAACTGCAGATATTTATTTAGCTGAAGAACTGCAAAACTCATGTATGGCTATATCTATACCAGTGCAGCTATTATATCCCCTGCATAGTCTATTCATTCTGATATAAAGTAGTACCAGAAATCGAGTTTCTTAGTACATTCAGGTAAAGAAATCCACATCTCACACCTTTGTAAAAATGATTTTGTACATATTATATCAGCTTGATCAATTTAATTCAAAATAACAGGGTTTCTGGGATATTTGCAATTTTGGCCAAGCCAGAAGCCGCTTCTCTGTCGGTTGTTCCTCATCCTCCTTTAGATTGCTGACGGAATATGGCAGTTCTATCTGGACGTCTTCTGAAGAAATTAGTTTGTAAATTGTAATATTTCAGTTTTTCATTGTATTTAGTTACAAATTTTCATTCACCTTTTAATGCGTTTTGTTTATCATCTGTCATCTGTGCATGCCTAGTTGGTACATGTACACTCTGGTCCTTCCTGATTTAAGCTCTCGTTACTCTAAACTTTGGTGGTTCACTTCAGTTTGAATTAGTCTTTTGAACTGTGGTATGGTAATTGAATTTTTGTGTAGTATGTGAATGTTATTCTACAATGAAGCAATAATTGTTCTGTACATAATTCCAATTTTGAGTAAAAGTTGCAGGAAATATTATTTGTACTAACAATTCATCTTCCCAGTCATATTCAAGGTGTTAAAATGAGCTCAGCATGTCAATTTCTCTTGGAGCTAAACAAAGACATTCGACTTCTGGGAAAGTCACAAGACTAAAAAGGTTATGAAGTAATGCACATTACTTATAGGCATATCACTTTATGAAAGCTTATAGTAGCAATATATATGACGGTGAGAAAGTAGTTGTGGGTAGCTCTAAATTTGTACAAAACACAAATAAAAAAGAAAAATTATATGAAATGACATATATATGTGTGGAGACATGAATTTGTGATGGATGCACACAGCACAGTGCACAATGGTGGAGCCAAGAATTGCTGCTACAAGGGGCTGTGGGAGCTACATAATGCAACCTTTGTTTTTTTTAACTTGTACTAAGCTCCCTAGTTGTAAGTGAGAAATTTGTGTCTTGGCAATATCCTAACCTAAAACCTAGCAGCTTCTGTATATAGAACACGTAGGCCCTGTTTGGTGGGCTGGATTGAATTGGATAGATTCAATTAAAATGGACATGGATCCTAATCATTGTTTGGTGGGCTTAAAACATATCATGGACTGAATATGGGTATTTGACACCAATCCAGAATAAGAGCGGCTCCAGAACCCATCACTAAACATGGGTTTATAATGAAGTCGTCGTCTCTTTTTCAACACAAAGTCGTCTTCTCTAGTTTGACTTATCAAGCCATTTGTATAATTAACAATTCAACAATTCAATTACTTCCACCACTATACAAGTTATGATTCTAAAAAACTTCACTACAAAGTGTATCCTCTTTTTTTTTAACTTCCCTTTTCTGGTTTGAATATTTTTTCATTTATTTTTTTCAGTTAGGTTGTAGTTTAATTTCTTGGTGAAAATTTGTATTTAAGGTTCTCAAATTAAAAACCCCCACAAAAATTTGTTCAAAAGATATATGATGGGTAAGAATAATTAATATTAACTAACCTGCATGTTATTGTACCTATTGAAGGTCTTCCTTGAGATCCAAAACCTTCTTATTCTCATGATGAGTGTCTGATAGATCAGCTTCACTAGTACTATTAGGCAGTCCAATGCGCAAGGCCACCGTAACTTGCCCCATTTTCTCTTCTTTGACTCCAAAACCCTCTTTCTGCACCCCAACATCTTCTATTTTCACCGGCTTGGTGTCCGTAAACCGGCTTAAAAGAGGCAAGCATTATATAGTAGTGCTATTCTCAGATAAGCAAAAAGGAGATGATGATGAAGAAAATGAGGAAGGTGGCTGCAGCCATTCAATGAAAGGAGGTGCTTGAAAGCACAAATTTTGGCCTTCCACATGATGGTTCCATAAACCCATCTCTAGAGATGGTAGAGAGAGAGAGAGAGAGAGAGAGAGAGAGAGAGAGGTCCTTGATGAATTCTCTCCTCAGAGGATTTATCCAGACCTTTTGTGGGAAAGATTCACTTACAGGGTTGATTTTTGAAATGTGGTTTGGTTTGTCGTTTTGGAACCTTTTCTTTCTCCTTTCTTTCTTTTCTACCATTCGCCCTTGTTTGGTTTAGGGAAGAGAGAGAGAGGGAAAGAGAAAGAATGGTAATGGAGGGGTTATAGACAATGACATGCAAAATAGAGACTCACCTAAAGGAAGAGAATCCTAGAAGAGTCTGAACATCTGTATTTGTTAGCTATGTACATGCATTTTCTTTTCTCCTAGTTTTTTCGGTTTAATTATCATATCATGGAATTTGACCTATGTGCACACATTTCTCATACTGTTAGTATGAAAATTGTATTGGCATTTCCTAGACTCCAGCATAAATTGGGAATTAGTGTGTGAATATCTTTTACTGAAAAGTTTTGGTGTAACACATTCAGTTCCAGATTTTCGAAATATGAATTGATCAATATGAGGAACTTGATTTCAAATAAACCATGACATAATCATGCATTCATCATATGATTCCTAGTTGGAGTTATTTTCACTCAAGCATTTTTAGGGAGTATTTTTGCTCACCACTTTAACCCAATGTGTACCTTCACCATTAGGGATGACAATGGGTCGGGTAGAGGCCGGGTATGACAATACCATCCCTGCCCCCGTTCCCGAACCCATCTCCATTTAATAGGTTTCGGGGAATCCCCATCCCCGTTCCCGTCGGGGGACTATTCCCCATACCCGCCCTGAATCCCCGATTTTTTTTGCATAAAAAATATTTATAATACATTTTAACATTAAGTTTCATATTAAATTATCATTCAACGCATCCAAATTAACTATAAAGTTTAACTCAACTATTCAAAATCACATCAATATGAAATTCCAAAGAAGATTAGGAAAAATTAGGAGAGAGATGTTAACTTAGGATTAAACAAAAATATTATAATTATTTATTTATTTATTTAAATATAAACATATATATTTTCGGGTCGGGTTCAGGGTTGGGGATGGCATGAGGTTGGGGACACCAATACCATGCCCTCCCCATACCCGTAGGGGATTTTTCAAGTTCGGGGATCCTCGTACCCAATATCCGTTTGGCCCCGAAATCTCCTCCCGTTAGGGTCGGGGACCCGACGGGGATCTGCCCATGCGGGGATTTTTGCCATCCCTACTCACCACCCTTCTAAAAATTGACATTTGTCCATATAAATAACCATAGTTAATTTTTGCTTTTAAATCTTTTAAAATATTTAAAACTAAATAATAATATAAAATAAAATAACTTTCTCCTCTCTCTACCGCCTCTCCGACCGACTCGCTCCATCCATGACAGCTCAAATTCTAAACCCGTCTCCGCCGGCACATCATCCCTCTGGTCCTCCACCGCCGCCCTTGTACATCAGTCAATTTACTTTATATAAAAATATAAAAAAAGCATAAGGCTTTCAATTGGTCCAAGCAGTAATAATAATACCCATCGACCCTCACGGAAGATTACAAACTCACCGCACCAAATTTCCCTAAAATCAAGATCTCTTGGACTCTAGTGCTTCTGTCAGATTCTCCTAGGTTTGAGATCTAGTGGCTGTTAATGAGAGTAGGCTTAGAAAAAGTTTGAAGCTTTTGATAAAAGTGATTGGAATTCAACTTGGGAAATTCGTTTATGTAAGCTATGCAATTCTTCTTCCTCGTAAATCAGTCTTTGAGTCCTTACTTTTATACGCTTAAAGGCAAATAGGGCGCGGTGGAGGGTGAACAAGACGGGGTAGGGAATGGTAGCTGGGTTGTTAGAAGGGAATGGCTGGGTTGCTACATGGGGAATGGTGGTTTAGGGTTACTGGAGGTGGGTTGGGAAGAAGGGAGAGAGAAGGAGAGTTTTTAAATTTAATTTAATTATTATTTTACTTTATTATTTCGTTCAAAAAAGATTTAAAAGTAAAAGTTAACTATGGTTATCTCATGGACATGCGTCAACTTTTTAGAATGGTGGTGATGGTACACTTTGGGTTAAAGTAGTGAGCGAAAATGCTCCTAGCATTTTTATGTTAATTCTATTTTTAATATGATTATATTTTATCTCTTGAGATTACTTTCCTAATTGGACTCTATTTTAATTTAAGTTAAAATATTATCTTTTCCTATTATGACTTGCACGTTGCTTTATTAAAATCATCTTTTCCTATTATGATTTTCACAAATATTTAAACTTATGGGTCTTTTTTCTTTGTTAAGAAAGATGTTTTAGGAAGTTTCCTCTTTCACCAAAATAAACAAAAATATATACGTAATGTATTTATCAAGTTAGAAAATAATATTGAACTTCCTCCTTTTTTTTTTTTTTTTTTTTTTTTTTTTTTTTTCTTCTTTGAATCGAATATAGAAAGTTGTTCAATATATCTCATACGACCTGTCATGCATACAAAATCAGGTAAGAATATGTCTTTGAAACTGAAAACAAGTAAGCAGATATTTGAAGTTGATCTCACGCATGCAATCGAGTAAGTATGCTAGTCAACCTTTCTAGTTTCAAATTACGAAACTAATTAAATATCGAAAGTATTGGGAAACTAGTTCACTATAAAGTCCTATATATATAGGAGCATAGTGAAAATCCTTTATCACAACAGTTCTCTTACGTACAATTAAGGTGTGCTAGCTCAACCTCAAATCTTCAAAGATGGTGGACTTTGCATTGCCTGAGGATCTGAAGATGAAAATACTAGAGTTAGTAGGTTCCAATGTGCAACTGACGCTCGTTTGCGATTTGACATTTTGTGAGCACGATTTTGGCAATCGTTTGGTGCTAGTGCTACCCGAGTCTTTGTCTGGCGTGCCAATCAACCTTAAGAAAAGGCAGTTGCTTACCGTACGGATGATCAGACCCACTGGTGGACCCAGGAAATTTTTGGAGAAGGGGAAAAATTTGAAAGGCTAAAAGCTAAAAAAATAAATAATAATATATATATATATATATATTACCAACTAATACCATCCAAAATTCGTAGCTACATGTACATGGCCTTCATTTATACCCTTCCACAAGCCTCAGACTCCTAGTTCCTACCAAAATTTTAAAGGGTGATACCCTTTTGGTGGCTTAAGGTCATATGTAAGCCTTGAGATATTGAGGCGTAAGCCTTTCATAACATTTTTTTTTTTTTTTTTTTTTTTTTTTTTTTTTCCTTTAAGTTTTCATATTAATTTTGCTTTTAGGCTAATAGGTAGGTAATCGAAATAAACGAAGATGTTCCAAAAAAATTAATAAAGGTTTTACTACAAACAAAAGGCACCATTGCATTTAAATTAACAAAACCTAATAATATGATTATGAGAGAGTACTATTGCTCATGATGACATGACTTGAAAGGAAGGGATGGAGAGCATCCATCGTTCCATTCTTTATCTTTTTAATTCGGTGACTGTTCCACCAAACATGTCTTTTTATATCCTAAGAAGGTTTGAGCAAACGCATCGTTTCATTTTAAATGAAACTCATATACTAAGACGACATCGTTTTAATGAGAAACCCAAAATAAACAGCACAAATCTTCTTCCTCGCGCATCTTCTTCCTTGCATAGCGTCTCTATGCCAGAAAAAGAAGTATGCAATTCTAACTAGACACGCATGTGAAGGAGTCTTGTCATAATAGATGCGATTTTTCACTACCAAAATTGGAAAACCTCTTTGAGGCATTTAATCGAACAAATGGTGAGCACCATCAAAGGGGCAAATTCCTGCCTCTCCATGTGATTTTCCGGCGAGGGGAGGTGCAGCTGCACCTCCTTGCGCCTTAATAGATCCGCCACTGATTCGGACCCTCACTTCATGTGTTTGATATGACTCTTAGTAGGAGTGCAGATGGTGGGCATGTTTTAAAAGATTGGAACACAGTGATGCAAACGGAGGATTTTGAGGAAGGTGACACTGTGTACCTATGGTCCTTCAAAGGCCCTGACGACATTCTTTGGTTTATTATGCATGCATAAAAGATCTACAATTAATTAGATGGGGCTGATTATTATTAGGGTTTTATTTATCGCTTACCAGAGTTATTATGTAGGCCTTTTTTTTTTTCCTTCTTCCTATTAAATAATCATCTTTTGTTAATTGTTACTCTTTGGTTCTTCAATATTAGGTGTTAGTACTGTTATCTAATTTTCTAATAGATTTCTATAAACTGTTACAAGAAGTTTAGTTAGTAGCCTTTTTTTCCAGTGTTGAAAGCACAGCATACACCTCGATCACCATAAAATAAAAAATAAAAAAATTTATATAGATCTCTTTCATGCATGAAGTTTTGTTCAAACATATTAAGGGGAGGTGTCTTATTGTCTTCTTTTCTCTAATAAAGAAGCATCTCACTGTAAAATACGTATGGATGAAATTGTTATGTTTTCCTATTTAGATCGGTGCACTAGATACTAAGTCATATCAAGTTTAATAAGAGTTGAATTAAGTTATGCCTTAATGCCCAAAACCTTGTGGAATAAGAAAGGGTTTTGGAGCCTAATTAAGGAGTCCTATTTTGTTTCCTTTTTGCGCGAACCAATTAAGTGGGCTTGAAAGATAAGTCAAGTCGGCCCTCGGTGATGAGTAGAGACGACTTGACCTAGCCATATATAAGCTAAAGACTCTGCTCTCGTCAGACCTGTTCTCTAAACCTATTCTCATCATAAAGAGAGAGCTGAAACAGATTCTGAGAGAGAGCAGAAGTCTTGAGCCATTACTGTTCTTGCTGGGATTGTTGCTACTACGGATAGGATGAATTCAGAAGCTGTGTAATAAGATGGCTCTAGGTATGTCTTCATGTCTTTACACGTATTGCAAATTGTGCGTAAGATCTAGAACATGCATATAAAGAATCTAACACAAATAGCATTCAAGCGACCTAAAAATCCAAAACATAAAAAAATAAGAAGAAAATGCGCTATATTAACTAATTACAATAACAATGTTCTGACATGAAAAGAAAAACTGATATGAATCCTCACGATTCTGGTTACACACACATTATTGTTTTTTAAAGATTCCAAGTAGTTCTAAAATGTACTGCAGAAGCTTGTAGCAAACTGGAATTCATTACCGGGGCGCAAAGAGCTTGCAGCAACCACCAAGTCTAAATTAAACTGGTGAATCATTCAACTTTAAATTTACCTGTAGGTTGGAAAGGTTTAATGTCTGTTCACAAGTCACCTAACAATAGTTTGGTGTTCAAATTAATCATTGTATGATAAATAAAAAACACATGAAACAAGTTACACCAACCTGGAAAGCGGTGTTGTCTCAAGCACAGAAATCTCTTTAAGATCTTATAGGTTCCAAAGCAAAGAAGATACACAAATTCATTGTGTTCACTGACTCTTTTCTGTGAATCAAAATAAAGAGGGACTCAAATTTCCTATTAGAGTTGTCTCGTTTTCAGCTACCTAGAATAAAAAATTAGTTTGTAAATTGTAAAGCCAGAAGCCACTTCTCTGTAGGTTGTTCCTCATCCTCCTTTAGATTGACGGAATATGACAGTTTTATCTGGACGTCTTCTGAAGAAAAAGAAATTAGTTTGTAAATTGTAACATTTCAGAATTTCATTGTATTTAGTTACAAATTTTCATTCACCTTTTAATGCGTTTTGTTTATCATCTGTTATCTGTGCATGCTTAGTTGGTACTCTAAATTTTGGTGGTTCACTTCAGTTTGAATTATAGTATTTTGACCTGGAGTGATATGGTAATTGAATTTTGTATAATATGTGAATCGTATTCTAGAATGATTTTATTCTATTTTTAAGTTGAAATGAAACAATAATTGTCCTGTACATAATTTTAATTTTGATCTTGCTTACTTGTTAAATTATCTGATAGTCTTGGAGGATTTATTATTTGTTCTAACAGTTCATCATCTCAGTCCTATTATTCAAGCCGTTAAAATTAGCTCAGCATGTCAATTGCTCTTGGAGCTAAACAAAGACATTTGAGTTGACAATGATCCTTAGCAAGATTTTATTAGTACGGACCCATGAATTTGTGATGGATGCATGGTGAAGCCATTAATTTATACAAGAGGGGCTAGGGTAAGTGCAAAATTATGGCAATTTTCTAACCCAAAACCTAGTCCTTGTAAGCATTAGGATCGGTCGAGTCAAGTCTAAAGTGTTGTTCAAGTTCAAGGTTTGAAGGTTGGAGTTTGGGGTTAAAGACAGCCTCAGTGAAACAAATAAGTCACACTTCACCACTAGGACTTTTTGCAATGAGCAGGGTGTGCCCCAAAGGTCTTCTGATATAGGGCTTCTCAAAGCACAATATTGCCCTTCAGCTGATGGATAAGCTTTGCCTTCCTCGTCCACCTTCTGTCCACGAGTGGTTGATTGGAAAGCTATTGAAAAGTAATGCAGAACTGAGAAAGCATCTGTAGGACTCTTTTCATACAAATATTATTATTTTATCAACTCTAAACTTTTATTTGGGTGTTACATGTTAGTCATCAACAATTGTTTTGGTATGACAGTTTCTACATGGATGCGCCGTGGCCAGGAAATCAGTGGCTTCTGTCCCAATTTCTTGTAGTTCTATAAGTTTCGTTTATTCATTGAAGTTTCCTTCAAATGTATATAAAATAAAGAAGAAGAAAATTCACCTTTTTTTGGTGAACTACCTATACGTTTTACTTGATTTGTAGATAGTTGATATTATTTAGCTATCAAAGGCACCACTTGCAATATTCTGTTAAGTGGCATATGACTTTGGTGCCACTAGTTCATTTTCTTTTGTTGTTGTGCCTCTAATTCAATGGACAGCGACTGATAAGGTAATAATTTATGCAGGGGAAAATTGTTCATACCACAAGATGTTTGATTTTCCATTTTCTTTTTCCTCACCGTCAGGGTCGTTGATAGCTATTCTCTGTGTAAATCCCATCCGCTTCATCAAAAGTCCATGCAAGGAAAATATGAAAATCCTGCCTGAAAATGACTACTAGTTATCTTCATTATATTACTGACATGAGCATATGAAATTGAGCAATTCGGCAACTAACCATAATATACCTTGCATTTTGTCACAGTATGATGACAAGTACTAAAACCGCGTTGTTGTTACGTGCACTCAATTGTTTCCTCTTCTTTCATTTTCCTAGCAGCTTCTATTGAAATTGAAGGTTGGCTTTTGTCTTTCATGCTCAGCCAGTTTTCTTCTATTTCTTAGTACATTCTCCCCAACTCTCAAATCCATTTGTAAAGAAGAAATACTGGCTTCGGAGCTGATTAGTGGACCTTTTCTAAAAGCATAACATAACTAATAAAAAGCTTTCAAGGGCCAAGGGATTAAGTACCTTTCTGCTCATCTTTCAGCTTCCAGTCTAACTAAGAAATCATGGTTCCAGAAGTAGTGGCTGGAGCGTTTCTATCCTCTTTTCTCTCTGTTCTGTTTCATAGGATGTCTTCCCGTCAGGTTCTTGACTTCATTAGGGGACGGAAAAAAACCAATAAGCTGCTTGGGATGTTGAAAATAAAGCTGAGATCGGTTAATGCACTGCTAGATGATGCAGAGGAGAAGCAAATCAGAAACACAGCAGTGAGAGAGTGGCTTGACGAGCTTAAAGATGCTCTCTATGAGGCAGATGACCTGCTGGACGAGATCAACATTAAAGCTCTGCGATGCAATCTGGAAGCTGAATCCGGAAGCAGCAGCACAAGTAAGATTACAATCCTAAATTCCACTTCCTTTGATGAGATCGAAAATGCTATCGAACCCAGGATAGTGGAGATTCTTGACAGATTAGAACTTATTCTAAAAGATAAAGTTGATCTGTGCATTAAAACTAGTGTTGAAGGTAGACAACAAGCCACATTACCTACAACATCTTTGGTAGAAGACAACAGTGTGTATGGAAGGGATGGGGACAAAGGTACTATTATCGAATTATTGCTATCGAATGATGGAGAGAATAATAAGATAAGTATCATTCCTATTGTGGGCATGGGTGGGATTGGAAAGACCACCCTTGCTCAACTGGTATACAAAGATCTTAGAGTGAAGCAACATTTTGACCTTCAAGTATGGGTTTGTGTTTCAGAAGAGTTTGATGTTGTTCGAATAACGCAGATAATTTATGGGGCAGTTAGTTCACAAACTTGTGACATGACAGACCTCAACCTACTTCAAGTTAAACTTCAAGAGGCTTTGACAGGGAAGAAGTTTCTCTTTGTTTGTGATGATGTTTGGAATGAGAATTATATCCAATGGGATTTGTTAAGGCGTCCCTTTGAGTCTGGAGCACATGGAAGTAAGATCATCGTCACAACGCGCAATGAAGGTGTTGCATCTGTTATGGGTACTCTTCCAACTCACCATCTCATGGAAATATCTGACGATAATTGTTGGTTATTATTTGCAAAACATGCCTTCAAAATTGAAGGTTGTACTGAAAATTCAAAACTGGAAGTGATTGGAAGAGAAATTGTTAAGAAGTGTAAAGGCCTTCCTTTAGCTGCAAAAGCACTTGGGGGTCTCTTACGCTCTAAGGTAAATGAGGATGAATGGAAAAATATATTGAGAAGTGACATATGGGAGTTGTTAGACAAGAACGTTAACATTCTTCCAGCTCTGTGGTTGAGCTATCATTATCTACCTCCGCATCTTAAGCGTTGCTTTGCGTATTGTGCCTTATTTCCAAAAGATCACACATTTATAAAATCGAAATTGGTTATGTTGTGGATGGCTGAAGATCTCTTACAACCTAGAAAAAGGAAAACAGCGGAAGAAGTTGGAGAGGAGTACTTTGATGATCTCATCTCACGGTCATTTTTTCAACAGTCATCAAGTGTTCAACCGTTCTTTACTATGCATGACCTTATCCATGATCTAGCAAAGTTTGTGTCGGGAAAATTCTGTGTTAGGTTGGAGGACAGTGACTCACTCAATACTGTGATTAAAACCCGTCATCTTTCATTTATGAAAAAAATAGATTGTCATGCCTACGAGAAATTTGACGATTTAAAGTATTTGCACACCTTCCTACCATTATCATTGCTACCTATATGGGCAGGAAAATTTCGAATGCTGGACCTACATCATCTATTGCATACATTACAATATGTAAGAGTTCTCAACTTATCAAGGTATGATATTAGGGAACTACCCGATTCCATTAGCAACTTGATACATCTACGGTATTTGGATATGTCCTATACTTTGATTCAAAAGTTACCAGATTCTGTGTGCATTTTGTATAATTTACAGACGTTATTGTTATCATGGTGTCTTGCTCTTGCTGAGTTGCCAACTGACTTGGGTAAACTAATAAACTTTCGTCATCTTGATATAAGAGGTACAAAGTTAGAAAAGATGCCACCAAAGATGGGCAAACTGAAAGATCTCCAAACGTTAAGTGACTTTGTCTTGGACAAATATCATGGCGATGACATCGCGGAGCTTAAGGAATTTCAACATTTGCATGGAACACTTCGTATTACTGGCCTTCAGAATATTGTTCATGCCGAGGATGCTTTAAAGTCCAATATGAGGGAGAAGGAGCATTTGAATGAACTAATTTTGCAATGGGGATCCAATAGTAACGATTCAGAAAAAGATAGGCAGGTGCTCAACAACCTCCAGCCCCATACAAACCTAAAAGAACTCACAATCTGTTCTTATGGGAGCACCAGCTTTTCGAGGTGGCTAGTACATTGTTCCTCCAATCTTGTTTGTCTTCGACTCAAGCGATGTGAAAATATTTTACTCCTGCCACCATTGGGACAGCTACCCTTACTCAAAGAGCTTGAAATTGATGGGTTAAATGGAGTGGTATCGATTGACAATGAGTTTTATGCTGATGATACTTGTGCAATTAGGCCATCATTTCAATGCCTTCAAATGTTGAAAATAAAAAATATGTTGGAATGGGAAAAGTGGTCTTATGAAGGTGGAGGTTTTCCTAATCTTCGTGAGCTTCGTCTGCTGAAGTGTCCCAAGCTAACCGGTATATTACCGTTAGACTACTTCCCAAGCCTTAATATGCTCAAGTTATGTGGAGCCGGTCTAGAATCCGTCACTAATATTTCACAGGAGCTCATCTTGACAGACTTAACAGAGATATATATCAATGAATGTAAGAAATTGAGGTCATTGCCAGAACAGATGCAGGCCCTTCTCCCATCTCTCCAGTCTATGTCCATAGAAAACTGCCCAGAAATGCACTCATTTTTTGAAGGTGGATTACCTTCAAAGTTAAAATCTGTTTCCATCCGTTCTTGCAAAAAGCTCATTGCAAACCGTGTGCAGTGGAGTCTACCAAGACTCACCTCTCTCAGACACTTGACAGTCAGCTTTGAAGAATGCGAAGCAGTAGATTCATTTCCGGAAGAAGGGCTGCTGCCTTCCAGTCTTACTTCTCTATGGATCTCCAGTCTTTTGAATCTTAGGACCATAGAAGGCGAGTTGACACACCTGACCTCTCTTCAAGAGTTGACAATTCAGATGTGCCCTAAGCTGCAGTGCTTGCCAGATGAAGGGCTACAGACTTCTCTCTCTCATCTACAAATCTCGGAATGTCCTTTGTTAAAGCAACGGTGCCAACGAGAGACAGGGGAAGACTGGCCCAAGATTGCTCACATCGACAACGTAGAGATCGATGGGAAACAAATATGATTTGCAATGTCTTGATGCATGAGTTCTTCTAGTTCTCCTAATGGTAATTATTCAATTCTCTCTGGGTACTAGTAGTTCTGCAGTCTGTACTTCTAAGTTTAATTTCAGTAGTGAATATAGTGGTGTTAACTTCTTTGTCACTGTGAAACATATTGATACTCTATATTTTCTTAAGCCAATTTCCTCCCATCTACTTTTTATAATATACCTGCCATTGATTTTCTGTTTTATAAAGGTTTGCATGGTAATGCTCAATGCATGCATCCCTGCATACTGGTCACTGAGTTTATATCTACCAAACTTTAAATCTAGCATGTGTATGTCATAAGTCATTTAGTTTTTACAGATTGCCATCCAAGTTGGGGGCATTTAATCATCACAGCACCAATTCAAAAATTCTAATTGCAAATGACTCCAAACTTTGGATGTCTTACTATCAGTGTCTTCAAAACGTTCAATTCTGAACGTTTAAATACCTCATAATGATGTTTGTTCTTCTTTATGAAAATATATGAGACTGTTTAAATACCTCATAATGATTAATGAGCTAATTTCAGTTCCTGATCCGAAATTGTCAATGTTGCCTTTTTGGCATATCTGAATCTATTGTGGAAAGCTGCACTTGTAAGCTCCTTGCATTGATGCTGAAAAGATTGTGGATTTCGAAATAAACTTTCTGTTCTTTATATGATGAAGGAGCCTTTGAATGGACTAGTTTTGCAATGGGGATGCAATAGTAAAGACTCATTTGACCCTAATTAAGTGGTCAAATGATATCGGATTCATGTGATTTTTTTTTGCAAAGATGATCTTTGAATGAATATCTATAAAATAGACAGCTTGTATTATGAAATACAATATTATGGAGTGAGTCCTATAAAGGGTGTTCTTTAAATAAGTTATATAGATTGACTCTGGTGAGACGTTAAATGCTGATGTGGCAACTATGACCCACTCTTTGTAAAAAAGTTAAAAGAAAAAGAAAATCACAAATTAAAAAAAAATATATATATATATATATGTATATATATAAAATATAAAATAAAAACCAGCCCCTCTCCTTTGACCAACACAGCCGCACGTTCCCCAACCCCTCCTCCGGAAAGGGATTGATCTTGTTTGGCTGTATCAAATAATAATCAGGAAAGTGTTTGCATTAATTCACAAATGTTTTAAACTTATGGGTCTTTTTTCTTTGTTAAGAAAGATGTTATAGGAAGTTTCCACTTTCACGAAAATAAACAAAAATATATACGTAATGTATTTATCAAGTTAGAAAATAAATACGGAAATACATATTGAAACTTCCTTCTTTTCCTTTTTTATTTTCTGAAACTGAAAACAAGTAAGCAGATATTTGAAGTTGATCTCCTATTCCATATCTCATGCATGCAATCGGGTAAGTATGTTAGTCAACCTTTCTAGTTTCAAATTACGAAACTAATTGAATATCGAAAGTTTTGGGAAACTAGTTTTCTAAAGTCCTATATATATAGGTTCATAATGCAAACCCTTTATCACAACAGTTCTCTTGCATACAATTAAGGTGTGCTAGCTCAACCTCAAAATCTTCAAAGATGGTGGACTTTGCATTGCCTGAGGATCTGAAGATGAAAATAGTACAGTTAGTAGGCTCCAATGTGAAACCGACGCTGGTTCTTGATTTGACTTTTTGTGAGCACGATTTTGGCAATCGTTTGGTGCTAGTGCTACCCGAGTCTTTGTCTGGCATGCCAATCAACCTGAAGAAAAGGCAGTCGCTTGCCGTACGGATGATCGGACCCTCGCTTAATGTGTTTGATATGACTCTTAGTAGGAGTGCAGATGGTGGACATGTTTTAAAAGATTGGAACTTAGTGATGCAAACGGAGGATTTCGAGGAAGGAGACACTGTGTATCTATGGTCCTTCAAAGACCCTGACGACATTCTTTGGTTTGTTATGCATGCATAGAAGATCTACAATTAATTAGCTAGGGCTGATTATTATTTATTATTATTAGGGTTTTATATATTGCCTACCAGAGTTATGTGGGGGCTTTTTTTTTTGTTTTTTCTTCTTCCTATTAAATAATCATGGGAGCTAGGTAGGGATGAGTTATCCATTCATATCCTTTGTTAATTGTTACTCTTTGGTTCTTCAATATTAAGTGTTAGTATTGTTATCTAATTTTCTACTAAATTTCTATAAACTGTTATAATAAGTTTTAGCTTCCATTCCAGTAACTTTTTTTTTCAATGTTGAAGTTTTGTTGAACATATTAAGGGAAGGTGTCTTATTGTCTTCTTTTCTCTAATAAAGAAACATCTCTTTGTAGCATTCAAGCGACCCAAAAAATAAGAAATAAGAAAATAAGAAAATATGCGCTATATTAAGTAAATAATATTCTGACATCAAAAGTAATAATTTAACAAATCCAATGATCACTGAATTTTGAAGTCCAATAATAGACTTAAAATACCAAAAGCTAGACAAATATATATATACACCTCACTTAGAAATATATACGATTTATTGTACGGACTAAGGAGAAGAGTGAATTGTGCATGAAAAATTCATAAGCTCACAGCCAATAGACAACTTCAAGCCGCTGCTTCATATATCTGCTGTGTCTCCAAAAATCATGCCTAGAGAGGTATGCTCTGTTATACTATATTGTTCCAAGAATTCTCTATGTACACAAACTGAAAATGACTATTCCATACAACTAGGGAGAGAAAGACCAAGAGAGAGCATTACCTACTTCTTTTTCTCTTTCTTTTAGATATAAATCTCCCCAATCTTATTCCTAATAAAAAATTGGATTTTACTAACCCTTAGGCTAGATGACTCACTTATGAAGAATTGTTGAATTGAAAGGTTGATGGCGGGTGTTGAGAGTGTTTGTCCTACTTTAAAAAGTTAAGGGATCTAGTATGGATTTATAAGGAGTTGGGCTACTCTTCCCATTGCTAATTGATTTTGGGAAGGAAGAGTGGGACGGAAGAGTTGCTGCACTCCCTCCACGTTGCTAATTCTTTTTCCTTTTTCTTTTTAATACCTACAAGGACATTTTGGCAACTTTAAAAATAGAGAATATTATGTGTTTTTTATTTTTCTGCAAGAAGAATTTATTTCTTTATTTATACATTTATTTCTTTTTTCGTTGTTAAGAAAGATGTTGGGAACATGGGTCTTGCATGTGTCTTGTGTTCTCTAATGCAATTGAGGACAATAGGGACTCAAAATGGAAACACGCACACTATTTTGTCCCAATAAGAACATTTCAATATTTATCTATTAAAATATATATATATATATATATATATATGGGGGGCGGATCAGTGGCACCATATTTTTGACACAAGTTTTGACACAATTTTTGGGCCATTAGATTACTCCACTTTTAATGGGTGAGTTGTCGGGTTGTGAGATGGTTGCTGGGTTGTTTGATTTTCATTTAATTTTTTGTTTTTATTTATTTTCAATTATTTATATTGAAGTTAATTATTTTTAACTTAATATTAAATATTTTTTAACAAAGCAAACTCACAGAATGAGGCATTAGACTGAATTTGTTAACTACCGCAAATTCAGTGATGAAATCGGAAAAATTGAAATCATGATGACCAAATTTAATTTCGAGCCAAAACCCAAAGTGACAAAAAATGTAATTAACCCTACTTATAAATTACAAGAATTACAAATATCTACTGCATAAATTACATGAAATTCAAAGAGTGAAGTAATAAAGACTAATGCACTAAATAGGGATAAATGTGATGCAGCTCACAAGTAAGAATCGGACTGAGGGTCGGTCCATTAATTTTGGAGGCCCTTGGTAAAAATGAAAAATGAGACCTTTTTTGTGTAACACTTACCTCATTTTGAAAAAAAAATTATAAGAAAGGGTTTCAAACTTAGATGGTAAGTAGGTTAGTTTAAGTTTTTTTTTAAAGGCCCATTATATGAAAGATAAATAAAAAGGCCCAAAAAAGTTCAAAATAAAACCCAAAAAGCATTAGTTTCAACACATAAAAGATGTTTTTTGCTAGTATATTTAGTGGACTGGAGGTGTGTAGGAAGCTCAATTTTTTTAAGGGCCCTATTCGATCGCCTAGTCACTGCACCCTGTAGGCCGAGCTTAATCTGACTCATTAGCTCACTAAGTCAAGCCCGGAACAAGAAGAGCATAATTAAAGATGGACCTGGCACGTCTTATATTTTTGGGCGAGTAGGGCCAAGGTAATTTGGGCATCTTGAGCCCACCGTCGTAGCCCATGCTGACCAAGACGCAGTGGGCTAACCCATTTCTATCCCATTTACTATTTATATTTGTTTTTAGAGAAAAAATATTACATAATAATATTATTATAAAATTTAACCCTTTTTTCCTTTCTAATAATAAAATTTTAAAATATCTTTTTTATAAATAAAATAATAATTTTGTTATTGAAGCTTCAACTTTTTAAACCCAAACAATAGTCTAATAATCAGCTTCTCTTTGAAAAAATATATATAAAACTCCTTAACGGTTCAAATGTCTAAAAATTACTATCATATTGAATTAATTTGTTCCGGTCCAGTTGGGTTACATGTTATAGTAAGTCGATCCTTATTTATAAGCTTCATATTATTTTACAAGCTCTATTCCAACTTTACCCTTATAGCATGGTCATCATTACACATGGCAATATTGTACACAACCTGTTAACACGACACAAATTCTCATGAAAATTTTAGTATTCGAGTCTGAGTTATCGTGTCGTGCTGATGTCATGTTGACCTGTTAGCCACACGTTAAGCTAACAGGTCATGTCGTGTAAATTCGCGAATACCCGTTAATCCATTAAATTCAGGGGCATTTTTTTAAATTTATATTTCTTTTTTTTCTTCTTTTTTTTCTTTCTTATCTTCCCCCCTCATTCCCCCAACTCTCCCACTGTCTTTCTCTCTGTAAGTTTCTTCTATTTTCATTATTTTTCTACGAAACCGAACATGGCTTTCTTTTCTGTTCTTTTCTTCCTCTCTCTCACTATGCCACCCTTTCTCTCCTCCTTCAGTGAACCCTCTGTCTCACTGGTTGTGCCATTAATGGAGGTTTATGGATTGGAGAAGAAGTAGAGAAAGAGGAAGATGGGGGGCTGCACAGATGTACATGGTTTTTTTTTCAGTTTTTTTTTAAAAAAAAATTCTTAACGGGTGAAATGGGTTGTGTCGTGTAATTCGCGAATTGTAACGGGTCATGCTCATTTTGACATTTTCCACCAGTTTTCTTATCGAGTTGTATCGTGTCAACTGGTATATAAAAACACACACACAATTTCGCCCAAGCAGTCCAACTAGGGAATTATTGTTCCACAACATACACGTTGAAATCCTACATCACACGTGCAGCCGAACCAAGCCTTATTCATGCAAACTGACCCGCCTGAGGGCCTACGACACACCCCGCTAAGGGTGCCCGGCTCTCATCACGCAACCAGAATCCTGCATCACACGTATGGGTAACATCCATATTCAACCATGGGAGGTACATATAGTGGTGCAATCCAAAATTCAATATTTCAAAACCATATCCCAATAAATCCATAGTAGAGAAAACACCAACTCATAATCACATCCAATATCCATATAGACCAAAATACAATATTCAAAATCCATAAACATACCCAATATCCTCATAATCCAAAACCCAAATCCATATACGTAATAAAATAAAATAAATAATAAGCATTGAAAATCCCATATGACATTGTAAAAGCTACTATAAAACAGCTAGGAAATTTCATAACCTCATTAAACCAAAATTAATCAATTTCCAAACAAATCATGTTCTATACAACATATCCAAAAATCGTGGCCATCCAACATGTTTAGACTTCTCGGAAGTGTGCAACAGAAACAAGTTTCTTGTTTCCAAATGTTGTTTTGGTGAATTATTGAGTTGTTTCAAAGTTATGTGGAATTGTGAACCTATAGGAATTTCCAGATAAAAGATCAAGGGTCGTGGATCCCGCATGTCCGGTTAACCTAGATAGTGGGCCTCGTTGACTCGGTTGACCGGATGTCTTCCGAAATCGTCTTGGCCTTTAGAACACTTGGCACGACCTCGAAATGTTTTCCTTAAGGTTGTGCACACAGTTTGAATTTCGAGAACTAGAGTTTTGAGTTAAAGTTTGTTGTGGGGTACTTATATTAAATAAATCCTTCTATTTCTCAAATAGGTATTTAGTCTTCACACACTCCACAGAGTTGACAGGACCCACCCTGGATTCCCATTGAAATTCGTGATGAACCATGTGCCCATCCGACATCTTACCGATGTCGGACCCACTTTACTAAAATGCCTTTTTTCCTTACTTAAAAAGAATAAGGCCTGAGACAGCTATCGAAATTTCGATAGAGTCTCCTATGTAATTGGAAGTTTCCCAATTTAACAGTACATGTAAACAAGCACAGAAATAATCCTAACTTTTAGCATGCACAAGGTAACACACACGATAGTTAAGATTATTCAAATGGGCCTCAGGCCCTCTACCCAAACTTAAAAACAAGCATGTAAAGCAACGAAAGATTAAACTTACAACCCGGGAACAAAGAATGCAGATGATGTTAAAAGAAAGTCCCTAAGGTGTAGACTATGGCGATGGAGGCGCAAAACAGAAAATGTGAGTGGACAAAAACCAAATATTTGAACATAAGTTATATTCAACCTCTTTGAGAGAATACAAGGATTTGATTAATAAAAGTACCCCACAACAAACATTAACTCAAAACTCCAGTTCCCAGGATTCAAAGTGTGTGCACGACCTTCAAGAAGTTCCTAGGGCCAATCTGTACTTTCCAAGCATGAGACGGCCTCGTAAGAATCATGGTTAACTGAGCTGTCAAACTTTCCATATTAGTCAATTGGGCCCACAACCTACGATTTCCGATCCAAAAGTTCCTATAGGTCCAACAAAGTCTACTAA